ATCAGGCTACCGGTGCTCTGTAGCGACTGTAACCATTATAAGGCAGACATTGATTTGATGGTTCGAGCTCTGATTTAATAAACAATCACAAAGAAAAAGCTGGTAGTAGATACCTAGACAACAAACCTATAGGTTTTATTGTGTGCACTGCTGGAAGTGATCTGCTAACCAGCTGACAACAATTTACAAAATGTTGCCTCCGTTCAGTGTGGCTATGTGCTATGGATGAACAAATGTGTGATGACCGTAAAAACATGTAATCAGCCTCCATTCGTGTCAAGTGAAGCATATTCATGTATCTCCTTCTCACAAAGCTGTTTCACGAGATTGAACTTTGAAAATTAAAGCAAACAAGACAGACCAACTTGGCCAAGCCTAACACAAACACCACCAGTGTCGCTGAGAGGACAAGGATGAACGCACCTGATGAAGCTCTTCAGGGGGAAAATGGAGGAGGCTTGAATAGAGATAGTCACACATGCCATAGCTGAGGCAGCGAAATGTGGCAGGATAAAAGAAAATGAGCAATAACACAGACAAAAACAATGAGCCGTTCTCTGCATTAATTTACTACACCCAGTAATTGTGCTCATTTTAATATAGCAAACAGAGTGAAAATATATAAATGAGACCCAATGGGAATACAGGGCTGCGCTGCATCCTTGAAACTTAAGAGAACGCTGGCCTTCAGTGTCACATAGGAGGTCACATTGCAAAACCAATTAGGTTGGTTTCTAGCTTATTTTGGGGGAGACTCCATGGCTTACTCTAAAGCAGCACCATGAGAACTTGAATTTAACTTGCAAAAAGAAAACAGAAATAACTTTAGTTTCCTGCTTGCTAAGGAAAAATAAACAAATATGCTGCAGGTTGTGAGATGATCGGATTTTATCTTCTCAGAATCACAGATAGTTCACACCCTGGTAATGAGCCTACCGTGTGTGCGTGTGTGTGTGTGTGTGTGTGTGTGTGTGTGTGTGTGTGTGTGTGTGTGTGTGTGTGTGTGTGTGTGATAAGAGGGGTTTTGCAGTAAGGAAAGTTAAAGCCAAACTTCCTTCCTGTCTGAGTGATATCCCAGGCCAACAGTAACACACACATACACACATATACTGTATTTTCATCTGTCTATATCTCTCTCTGTCTCTACTTGAGGGCAGTGCACACACATCAGACAGGGGATGTCCATGTGAATGGTACACAAACACACACACTCTCCTGTCTAGCAGCAGGACAGCCTGGGAATGGTAGACCAACTCTTCTCCACCCCTCTTTACGAAAAGATAGAGGGACAGTAGCAGTATTTTATTCCTCAGCAAAGAGTCCATGAAATGGGCAAGATGTTTTAACCATCAACCACCTGTGCGTTACATTACATGCTGAAAAGGAAAATGTGTTAAATTCTCCTAACTCCAATAATTGTTTATGTTTGAAAGTTGATCTATCTGTACTATTTTTACCAGCAGATTTGACTGCTTCACGAAACAATTTGACACAATATACTCAAAACAGAGGCAGACATGGCTCACTAAAATGCACAACTGAAATTTGTAGTATGATTCTCCTCGGAGTGAGCAAGCTTTAAAGAGACAGTTCACACAGATAGTTCACCACTGTGATCCCATAATTAGTATGCACTAAAATAAACAAAAGCAGCACATTAGGGTGAAATGTTGCCCTAACCTTAACCCATAAGGCATCATCTCCTGCTGTTAATTATCAGTAACAATGCTGACCTCAGCTGGACCAAGTGTGTTACTGCTGTTGTTTACGCTCCTTTATGGAAAGCAGTGGGCATCAGAGCAGACTGAATTAAGTAGCAATTCTGCCACAGAGAGAAGTCTGATGGAGCATACAACCAGAGAGAGAGACAGACAGACAGACAGACAGAAAGATATAAGGGGGTTAGACAGGCAAGACAGAAAGACAGGTGTAGCAGACATATAAACATAGCAATAGAGAGGTGAGAGAGACATGGTCAACAGACAAAAAGCAAGAGAGACAGACAACCAATCAACAGACTAAACCATCTCACGCTTAATTAATCAGACAGCGAAAACACTGCGGGGCTCTCGGCTGCTTGAAAGATATTTAGGTGTGTAACATCCCCACAACAACACACCCACACTCAAAAACCCAGACACAAGCAAAAGCAGGCATGTACGCACACACGACAAAGGAACCTTGTATCACATCTTTTCACAGCTTTTAAGATGAGGAGAGGGTGAAGAAAACAGGGATGAAAGAACAAGGAGGGAAGTAAATGAGTTGGGCAAAAAGAGGGGGAGGGAGTGTTGGGAGGAGGAGGGGGGGAGGTGAAAGAGAAATTGAGGAAAATTGAGAGGAGAGGAGCAGAGATGGAGTGAAGATCAAATGAGAGGAGATGAGACCCGATGAGGTAGAGATGGATGTTAGGAGAAAAGGAGAGAAATAGAGTGTGAGAAGGAACAAAGTGAAGGGATGCAGAGAGCGAGAGACAGTGTGGAGGAAGGACGAGGAGGAGGCCAGATTAGATGGAAGAAGGAGAGCCAAAAAAAAGCCAAGAGTAGTGAAGTGCAGAGCGGAGCGGAGTAAAGAGAAATGAGAAAAGACGAGGAGAGGTACTGGAGACACTGTGACCTCACATGCTCGGCTGCAATGATGCTTTGAAGATCATCTCAAGGTTGTTAGATAAGACGGATCCCATCCAGATGGGGGGGGGGGGTTGTGATAATGAGAAGACCAGCATGAGGAGTAAGAGAAAGAAGCAAATAACTGAGGAGAGGGGGGCAAGAGGGGGGGCGAAAGAAACCGTGAAGAGATAAGACGAGGATAGTGTAGTGAGAGTGAAGAAGGCCGTAGAGGAAATGATGCAGTGACTCAAGATGCTATGAGGCAGTGTGCGTGTGTGTGTGTGTGTGGGGGGGGGTGTAGATAACTGCATTGTCAGGCAGGCATGCATTAAAATGTGCACAGTGTGTATGTATCAGTGCAATGGGTTATGTGTGTGTGGAAGCTGCATTTGCATATGTGGGTGTGTGTGTGTGTGTGTGGGGGAGGGGGGTCTTGGCAGGAGTGATTAAGTACAATGAGCCTGCCAGCCAGTAAACAACCAGGCAGGTTGTGTTCCATTACTTAATGAGTTCCCCTTATCTGTGAGCCTCCTCTCCTCCTTCCATGCATCCTTTATATTTACTCTGCTTTATCTAAC